CCCCGGGTCCTCCGCCGCTTTGCTCCCGTCTCCCTGGTCTGCTGGCTCCCGCAGCAGACCAGGGAGACGGGGAGCAGCTTTTCTCGCCCCGGAGGAGGCGGGACCAGGCATCCCGCCGCTCAAGTCCTCCGGGGCGAGAAAATCCCCGTTCGTAACTGCGGATCCGACTTAAGTCGGATCCGCGTAACTCGGGGACTACCTGTACCATCAAATGGGCTAGCCAAGTGTAAGACTTGCATCCATTTTTATAGCAGATTGTCCCAAATATTCAATCTAAGGTGTCAATTCAACAGCTTTATATTTTTATAAATATGCTATTCCACTATAATCAGGCAGCATTTACTTATTGAAAAGAAACATAATGCGTCAAAACAGCAGACAAGAATCAGTATGAAAATTCCCTGGTTTATGCTATTACAACAGTCCTTCTCTCATATCAGTGTAAGACTGAACATGAATATGTTTCAATTAATTGAGCTCAACTGCGAACACAGAAGAATCTCATTAGAATAAGACCAGTTATAAAGCCCTTTCAGCCACAGTCAGAGAAGTTTAAAGATGTTAGCAAATCAACATGGTGATGAAAGACTTACAAGTCTAGTCTACTATATGTATTACTATAAAACAATCATAGTAACACAACTTAATCTGTACTATCGAAATAATTTGATGACTTTTTAATTGATGGATATTCCTTTATCCTCAATACACTTTCTTTAGACGAATTAAAATAGAAAACTAGCCATTTTAGGAAAGACATTTTATAGTGTGCTGTCACTTTAGCCACAACATGCTAACAGAGCCAAACCACCAGAAGTAGACAAGTTTCTAAAATGTAGGCTTCATATTTAAAAGGCTCACAATATAAGACTGACTTTTCACAGAAAGAAGAAACATTTAGAGACTGATATTTTTGTATTTTCTTAACATTTGCATGATATACAGATTTTGCTGATTAGTATTATTCTGTACTTAAAATCATTCAACTGTTACTATGGTAGCTGCTGTGAAGATTGTCAAGGAAAAGCAAATGCAGTCCTAGGGCTCCTCTATGTTAAATCTGAACAGAAATTGCATTGTTTAGAAATATAGATACTGTGGGCACAGGTATAAAGATGCTTTTCATTATAGCCGATTTCTGGAAATTTATGGATAAAAACTATTCTGATATAAGAACAGTACAACTGCATCTACACTAGGTGGTTGTACCAGTAGCATTGGTTTAGAAACAGATATAGCTAAAGCAGTACAAACAACTGTATTTAGACTAGGGATGTGAAAGTGCAACTGTGTACATGGTTACAGACTCCCCCCTATGTGTGAGGAGCTGGCTTAAAAGTCCAGTTTGAACCCAGCTTCTGCCTCTCTATCAGAGGCAGCTGGGAGGGGCGGGAAGGCAGATGGGAGCTGATGCATGCGCACTAGCTCCTAGGAGCTGACAGTCTGCTATGTGTAACCACTGAAAATTTTCAGAAGTTACATGTTTACTTAAATGCATTTTAACATCCCTAATTTAGACAACCCTTACACAGAGATCCTATTTTCACACATATCCTTAATCCCTTCCCCCATACTGACATCTGCAGAATGGCCTGTAAAGATTTTTCAACATTTTAAAGGATGCATCTTCCAATGTTTACAATTTTGTTTTAACTTTTAAAATGCAACATTAATGAGGTTAATCTTAACCTCCTTTTCATGTGTAAAGTAATTGCAAAAATGGTAACTGCAGATTTTAGGTAAGGAACAATCTTTTTGTTTTGTTTCTACAACACCTCGTACAACAGTGCTATGATTTGAAGATAGCCAAGAAAGTAAGTAAGTTCGGGAACAAAAACAGCATCAAGAGACTGGAAAATGATTTAGCATCTTATTGCACTTCTGCCAAGTAACAAATACAGTCTCAGAGGTTATGGGGGAGGGGGACCATGTCCTCCCCTCATAGCATCAAATCGCAAAGACTGGATCATCTGACTTGGGCTTGCGCTACAGGGCTAAATACTAAAGATGTTGAATTGCATTTAGTCAGCTAATCAAGTAGTCATTGGATCAAACAATTGATAAGTGAGTAAACTGCAGAGCCACAAGGGGATTAGCTCCTGCCCCCAGGAGCTAACCCCACTGCAGCTCTGCCTTTTAGATGTAATAAAGAGCCTGGCAGCTCTTACTTGATTTAAAAAGCAGAGGTGCACTTTCTGGGACCAGGTGCGAGCTAGGACAGCTGAGTCCTGACTTGCAACAGACCTCTTCTGCCCCACCCGCTGGGGGGTGGAAAACCAGCTTTGAAGCTAGCTCCCCTCCCAGCACCAGCTCCTGCTCCCTGTCTATCCGATAAGCCTAGGCTTATCGGGTAGCTGACTAGTCGCTTACATCCCTACTAAAAAACAGCAGCGTAGATGCTCCCACTCAGGCTGGAGGTTCTGAGATTTCCGCCATCCTCCCAAGTTTCAGAGCCTTAGCTATTTAGCTATGTAGCACCAGCCTAAGTCAGTTGACCTGGACTCAGACTGACGGTTTCAGGTTTTCTGTATTGTTTTTGCAGTGCAGAGGTACCCATAGCATCCCAGCAACGAACATCTCTGCATGAAGTCAAAAGCAGGAATACCTGACAAACTTATGTACATTTGCTATCAAATTTGTACAGAACAAGTGTTTATGAACGTCTTTTAAACATATCAGATGGCAGTGCTACATTGAGAGTTATTTCCTCCTCCCTAAAGTAAAAAGTTACTTGGCAGACCAATTAGGTTCAGCATTCTGAAAGTGAGTTTTCAAAGGGGAAAAACATGTTTGTTCTTATATCTAAGCTCCATGATTCATGCATTTTAGCCAGGGCCATCCTCAAGGGGCACAGGGCCTGAGGCAACCCTTCCTACCCCCTGCTTTGTCCCACTCCATCCCTTCCCTCAAGCCCTGCCTCTGCTCCACCTCATCTCCAAGCAATGTGACTTGAGGATTACTGTGGGGCCTGGTCTGGAATAGCAACAGGGATCAGTCCCTGCCCACCTTTCCTTGGCAGTAGGAACTGGAGCAACCTAGCAGCAGCCTGTTCTGCTTCGTCCCCCCTTCCGCCATCTCCCCACCCGCTGTGCTTGCTTCACCGCAACATGGGAAGTGGAGTATCCTGGAGCCAGGGCACTCTGGCTTCTTGCTGCCACAGTGAAGCCAAGCACAGCAGCTGGGAGATAGGTGACAGGGTGGAACAGAGCAGGCTACCAGGTTGCTCCAACTCCTGCAGTCAGTGGGCGGGAGCATGACCCCTGCTGCCACCCCATCCCAGGACCCCAGGTAATCCCTCAAGCCCCACCCATAGGATGATTGAGGTGGCCACTGTGGGTTCCCCAAAAGCACAGGGTCTGGGATAACCCCCTGAACAGTCCTGTCAAAGGGATGGCTCTGATTTTGGCAACAAGGCCATAAATTCTTTCCAAATTACCTGCATAAATGCTGAAGACAGCAATCCTGCACCTCTTCCATACACAAAGCCAAACAAAAACAATAACAATTATTTTATTCCTTTTAATAAGCCACTACCTTCAGCTAATACATATGCCAGGCCTATCTAACTGCACAAAACAATCTGCCTACAGCTGTAAGTCACACCTAAAGTTGCCATGGTAAATTTTATTTAATTTCTGGAAATTAAGAGTATGAGAGTAGGATAAGGCTGGCCAGACTACTCTTCAGGATATTTAACATTTTAACTAAGCAACAACCATATCCCAATGCTCTTGAAAGAATGAAAATTTCCTGATTTTATGGCTTATGCAAGACTACCACATTTGCAGCCTTCCATATACTTACCACACTGACTGAATTTCTCTTTTAGCTTCTGCCAGGTCAAGTCAAATGGAAGCTAAAATGAAAACAGGTATTAATAATATAGACAGACACAGAGTGGAAAAAAAATAGCTGGTTGTTTGAATTCATATGCTTACATTTCTGACAAATATCTGGTTGCCTTTAGAACCTCTCTCTCTCACACCACTTCCCATTGGGCCAGCCACAAATCCTCGATCCATATCAATGTTCCTGTCCAGGCCGGCTCCCATAGCTGGTCCCATTCGATCAAAACTGGAGCTCATTCGGTCCATCCCCATTCCCATTCCTCCAGTCATACTATTCATGCCACCCATTCCACCACCTAGGCACAAAGAGGAAGAGAAGATTCAGCAAAATGATATAAAGTAGTGCATACAGAAACATTGATATAATACTAGTCTATCTACAAAAAAAAAAAAAAAAAAAAAAAAAAAAAAAAAAAAAAAAAAAAACACTCCGATGAATAACACAGATTTTGTTTGATCTCAGGAACTGAAAATTGACTTTCAAATTTCTCTAGTATGGTCCCTTGTATGACTTAGTCTTAAAACAGGGCTAATTTGAGCATCAACCATTTAGTAAATCCAGGAAGCCAAAATAAAAATGTCAGTGTTGCTGAATGAATACACACAGAGATTTTTACCTGCCCGATGGCATCATCTTCTAAAGCAGTGGTCTCCAACCTTTTTACACCCAGGATCACTTTTTAAATTTCCGAACAGGTGAAGATCTACCGCCCCGCCCCTTTCTATTCTCCTCCTGTCCATCATTTGCTATCCCCAGCCCTTACTTACACACTCTGCTAAACAGTTTTTTTAAATTATGCGATGTATAAAATTAAAATCACATGTTTATAGTTATGAAATAAATGGTCTTTTTTATTCATGCTATTTAAATCTAAAATGAAGCATTTATAATTATACATTTTGTAGGGACAGAGTTCTGCTGCTGGGGGCAAGGGAGAGGGAACAGGGTGCTGGAAGGGCAGAGGACAAGGTTCTGCAGCAAGGGACAGGGTGCCAGTGGGGACATGTTTCTGCAGCTGGGGACAGGGTGCCAGTGGGGACAGGAATAGGGACAGAGCTCTGTAGCTGGGAAAAGGGGAGTGGGGAACAGAATTTTGTGGCTGGGGACAGGGGAGTGGGGACAGCGTTCAGGGAGTGGGGACAGAGTTCTGTGGCTGGGGAGTGGGGTGCCAGTGGAGGCAGAAAGTCCCCTGCGTCTGCCTCCTCCCAGGATTCCCCTGCCCCCAGAGGGAAACCAGCGCATGCCTACCCTGGGACCGACCCACCCGCGGCGCCGGGAAATCCCAGGTGCGCACACCTGCCCGGGGTCCAACCCCCTGGTGCAGGAAAACCTCGCGCGCTCCTGCCTCAGGGCCGACCCCCCCCGGTGCACGGAAGCCCTGTGCGTGCACACCTCCCCCGGGGCTGATTCACCCCTCCTGTGCGGTGCAGGGAGCCGATGCTCCCTCCCGCAGTACACCCAGAATCGCCGGAAGTGGCGCTAAGCTGAAGGACTTTTGTCCATCCCCGGGAAGCCTACACTACCTCCATTTTCACTGGAGATAGGTAGTGGGGCTTCTCAGGGGTAGGAGGGAAATGGGGGCGGGGCGGACAGGATGCCTCGCGATCGACCAGTCGATAGTGATTGACCTGTTGGTGACCACGGTTCTAAAGGAACATTTCTCTGAACATTAAACTGGATTGGTATAGATAGCCACTCCTTAATAACAGAAGCCTGGACTCTCCAACAGTAAATACTATATTAAAGCATATTAGTATGCATCAGGTGTGTGGAACTATTGACACACAGATAAATATTTGTAGATTCATAAAATTTTCAAACCATTAAAAATATAGGAAGGACAGGAGCTTCAACTTTAGCCACATGTCTCAAGTATTAAGGAGGTCGATTTCCTAATGTGCCATTCAAGTTGGCCAATGTCAAGGCATTGATGTCATTCAACTCTCTCACCCTGAAGGTGATTTATTGAGGATGAATTTTGCCTTTCGTAAATACAGGATTAGTGCACTACACAAAAAGTTAACTGAATTATATCTGAAATTCTACACCACAAATGGTAGTTGCTAGCATGATTTGCTTACCGCAGAATTAAAAAAAAATTGGAGTTGTTTGTAGGGTTCCTACAAATAATTCACCCTACCTTTCTTCTAGTAAAAATGCTGCTGCTCCTTTCACCAAAAATATTTAGTATACTAGGAAGCTTGACACATTCCAGCATCAGATTAAGAGTTAGAAAGAATGTAGTGGACAAGGCAGAAACTCAGTGTTACTATACAATTAGGGCCCTACTAAACTTATGGTCCATTCTGGTCAATTTCATGGCCAGGTTTTTAAAACTGGCCAGTTTCACATTTTCAAATGTTTATATCTGAAACTTCACTGTGTTGTAACTGCAGAGGTCTGACCTAAAAGGGCATTGTGAGAGGGAAAGATCACAAACCATTAGGGAGGAAGAATAATGTCCATAGGACTACCACTCTCACTTCAGAACCTAGCTTTAAAGGCAGTGCAGAAGACAGCAGCCAGAGAGCTTCCTGCAAGCAGGGGAGGTTCCTGGAGGTGGGTCTCATTTCTTCCTTCCTGGGAACACCAAGAGTTCCTAGCTGCTGGTCTCAGCTGAACAGGAGATGGACAGGACTTCATCTTCCCCTGTATAGCCCTTGGACGGAGATCAGACCCACTTCTGGGTACCTTCCCTGGCTGCAAGTAGGTCCACAGCTGTGCTGCCTTAAGAGCCAAGCTTCCTGCAGCTAGGGGAGGTACCTAGAGATAGGTCTGATCTCTCTTCTGAGAGTGGCTGTCCTTCTCCAGCACAGGGATTAGCAGTAGGAGCCCCGAGCAGAGATGCACTCAGGCCTGCTGCACCCTTCTGGATTTCACAGGGAGAGGCCTGATTTCACAGTCCATGAATTTAGTAGGGCTTATATATAAGAAAAGCATCTTTAGCAAAAGAACATCTGCAAGAACAATTAGAATTACAATCACAACATGTTTTCTCTGCCATTGACAAAATATTCAACTAGAACAACTTATTTTCAAAAATGTTCTGCTATATAGATATATCGATCATTTACATTCTGTTGGAATCAACCTACTCATTCCAGATCCTACTGGGCCCATGCTAGAAGCTCCCATTCCTCCTGCAAAACCACCAACCATTGCACCACCTAAACAAGAATAGAAAAAAAAATTAAGTGATACATGCTAAGACTATGGTTGCAAGATAAAGCCAGACAATATTAGCAACTAGAATGGTTAATATTTAAAACAAACAACACAGGACATGCTTACCTTATGATTCTTCTCTATGGACTGGTTTCACCTGTGTAGATTAGATGGGTTGGAACCTTATTATCCAAGATGGATGGGAAGCCTCTAATAGTGACTTTGATAGCCGTTAGCCTCTAGGTTTTTTTTATAGATTTTAAAGTGCTTTTAAAAGCTTCTCTCCAGGTAAAAAAATTCTTTGGTACAGCCAAGTTACCATTAGGACAAGCTAGATGGAATAAATAAAATGATCCTGCAAGAACACTGAAGCAAGGCTAACAGGACCACCTTATTGTTAGATATAAAACAGAAAGCTCTTGGCATTCTCACTCCAAATGATGTACGGTAACTAATACCAGAAGAATTACTTCAAAGCTTTTGCTTCTTTCCCAAAGGATTCAAATAAATGCAAAGGCATTACTTATTAAATACTCAAGTACGGATTCCACAGAGTTCTGGGAAGCCTACAGTGGGTCAGTCATGCCTTTAGGGAACAGTTCTAGGATTGTAAAAGAAAAAAAGTCACACCAAATTCATTAAACTCCTAAGATCTATAAAAGCATGAATGGTTTGGACCCAAAAAAAAAAAAAAAAGTTTGACATAACACATGAACCTGGGATCACCAAATAAAATAAAGTAGCAGCAAGTTAATTTTAAGCTTAAGGAAGTACTTCATGCTACACAGTCAACACTGTGGAACTTGTTGCCAGGTGGATGGTATAAATGCCAAAAGTATAGGTGGGTTCAAAAAGAACTAGACCATCAATAGCCATTAGTCAACGTACTCAAAGATGCAACTCCGTGCTCTGAATGTTCCTAAACCTGAGTGCCAACAGTTTGAGTGGACCAGAGATCACTCAAACTACCCTGCTTGCCACTGTTGGAAGACAAGCTTCTGAGCTAGGGGGACAATTGATCTGACCCACTATGGCCATTTATATGAAGGAGAATAGCACTCTCTAATAAACCTAGAACTTACAAGAGCAGCCGCTCAGAGACAAGTCCTGCTAGTCTGTGACAAAGGCAGCATTGCTGTAACAATAGATCTTGATATGAGAAGACAAATGAATAGGATTCTAATGCCACCCAATGCATGTCCACAAACTGAAACATGCTCATTCCAGCACTATCGGCATAATCTTGGCTTTGTCTTGATTTTACACTTTTCACAAGTGTATATGCTGTAGGCTAGAAAGAAGAGCACAAACTTCCTGTTGATCATGCTTCTTTATATACTGAAGAATCGAACACAAACTAGACTTTTTGTTTGTATGGTCTGTTTTTTTGGCCACAGAAAGTCAGTCACCAACTTACCCAGACTGCACACTCTGAATACCCAGATTCTGAAACTGTTCCCCAGACTGGATACTTTGTCTGCATAATGAACCTGATGACAGACTGTTAGCTTAGCAGTTCAAATGGAAAGATGATTGTCCTCTGCAAACTTGGACAGAAGGATAGTCTGAGAGGAAGAGCTTGTTTTCCCTTGGCAATTTACATATACAGTAAAACTCCGATAGTCTGGCATCCAACTGTTCGGCACTCCCGATACTCTGGCATCAAAATGCCAAGCTCTCCTGACCAGCTGATTAAAGAGCCTGCCGCACAGCACACGTGCTGGCTGTAACCAGATGGAGCATAAAGATTTTGGGGGGGAGGGAGAGAGGGGAGTGGGATCCTGTTACAGTATGGAGAAGAGTTTTGCTTCAGCAAAGGGAGGTGAGAGGGAGGAGGATCAGGTTACAGCAGGGAGGAGACCGAAGAGGAAAGGGGAGGGGAGACGGAGGGAGATTGTGTCCTGGCCAGCTGTTAAGCCATGCAGCTGTACCGAACCTCCGGATTCTCCAGCAAATCTGATAATCCGGCCCCACCTAGGTCCAAAAGGTGCTGGATTATCAAAAATCTACTGTATCTACCAGTGTTACCTGACCTCAGCATAATGTGCTAATTCTGGCTGAACTCATTCAATGCAAGCAGGTCTCTTCACCACGCCAGCAGGTGGTTATAAAAAGCTCTCTGAAGCAGAATATTTCCTTAAGCCAGATGGATGTGTGTGTTTGGGTCACAAGCAACACATTTTGTGACCTGTACAGGAAAGACTATTTCATACTCATTGCTTTGGTTGCTCTTCATAATAAGGAACTGTTTGCAGAGTTTGAAACTAGGGTACTAACTCCCAGCAGGGTACAATAAGATCAAACAATTTTAGCAGAGCTCAGATTGCTAGAGAAATCTACCATGCTCCTTGAGCTATCAAATTTTATCCTCAAAATGATTCTCTGAAGGGGAATACTCATCTCCATTTACTAGGAGCAAAAAAGTTTCTGCAAAGAGCATCCCCAATTAAAAAAAAATCCAAGATCATCTCTTATTAGGGATGTGATAGTGTAAACATGTAAAAGGTTAGCTGATGAGCTGACCTTCACAGTTACACGCAGCAGCCTTTCCACACTCCACAGCCTAATACAGAGGCAGCCAGGGGAGAGGAGTGTGGCACTCTACAGGAGCCAGTGCACGCAGGTAGCCAGCTCCCCATGAGCATGTCTCCACTCACATGTAAATGTATAACTGCTGAAAATTTCAGCAGCTACACATTTACCAAAATAAATACATTTTAACATTCCTAATCTTGATTCTAGCCATAGCCTTTAATACACAAAACTTCTAAATAAGCTCATCTATGCAGGTGATTTAAATTTGTTCTAGATTCTTGACTGCAGTATCCTGAAAATTCATTAAAGGGGGGGAAAGTTTTTTACTTCAAACAATACTTCTTGAAATGGACAATATACCATTGTTGATGCACCATGGCCTATTTTCCTTAATTAAGACAACATCAGCTAAGATACTGGATAGGAGGACCCAGAGTCTTCCTCAGCCAAGTACAGTATAAACCAACAGTTATGATGGAAAGTCCTAATTTTTTTTTCCTTTTGGTAGTAAAAAGTAAGTTATAGGTCCTCTGAGATTATTTCAAGTTTTCACAAAGGCTATATCTAGACTACATTCCTCTTTCAAAAGAGGAATGTAAATTAAGCAAATCAAAAATACAAAGGAAGCGCGGATTTAAATATCCCACGCTTCGTTTTCATATTCATGTCCGAGCGCTTTTTCGAAAGGGCTTTTCGAAAGTGAAAGCGCAGTCTAAACGCGGTTCTTTCGGAAAAAACAAACCCTTTTTCAAAAGAACCCATACTCATTTTTTCAGGAGTATGGGTTCTTTCGAAAAAGGGTGGGGTTTTTTCCCCGAAAGAACTGCGTCTAGACTGCGGTTTCACTTTAGAAAAACCCTTTTTCAAAAAAGCGCTCAGGCGTGAATATGCAAATGAAGCATGAAATATTTAAATCTGTTCTTCCTTTGCACTTTGCTTCATTTACATTCCTCTTTCGACAGAGGAACGTAGTTTAGACGTGCCCTAAGTGAGGACACAATTCCAATATACAAATCAAGAGAAGCAGATATCTTGGTATCTCTCAAGTATTTCCGTTCTCTGACACTGCTATCTTGCTCAGTGGTCCCTAAAAATAGTATTGACCACAGGAACCTGGAATACAGACTCTGTAGGTACAAGTCAGCTCAAGACACTGTTCACTTTCAAATATGCCCTGGCTTGTCCTATTACAGAAGCACCAAGAAAACCAAGAATATTGCAGAACCACCCCCCTACCCATCCTGCATTGAGTATGCTTTATTATAGTCAGCCGAAACCTGCTCCAATCTACTGCATACAGAACTCACACATCCAAATTTTCAAAAAAGTATTAGAAAGCACAGACTTAAAATTAGCCTCTGTGAGATCAATGTGCATCATCGACACAAAGGACAAAATTGATAATAGCGTAAAACATGTAGGCTACGTCTACACTGGCATGAATTTCCGGAACTGCTTAAAACGGAATACTATTCCGTTTTCAGTTTTTCCGGAAAAAGAGCGTCTACACTGGCAGGCTGCTTTTCCGGAAAAGCCCTTTTTCCGGAAAAGCGTCTGTGACCAATGTAGACGCGCTTTTCCGGAAAAGAGCCCCAATCGCCATTTTCGCGATCGGGGCTTTTTTCTGGAAAAGACTACTGGGCTGTCTACACTGGCCCTTTTCCGGAACAGTGTTCCGGAATAAGGACTTATGCCCGAGCGGGAACAGAATAGTTTTTCCGGAATAGCGGCTGATTTTGTACAGTAGAGCGTCATTGCTTTTCTGGAAATTCAAGGGCCAGTGTAGACAGCTTGCAGCTTATTCCGGAAAAGCGGCTGATTTTCCGGAATAAGTGGCCCAGTGTAGACACAGCCCTGCAGTCAGAACTATGTTTGTGTTTCCAATTGAGATATTTGGTCTGCAAATTCACAGCAGCTATCATCAATTTAAATATATTCGGTTTTGAAGGTCTTTACTTTCAAGGAACTGTTCAGCCACTTTAAATCCAAGATGGAGCAATGATTTCCTGTCATGTTAAAACAGTGGCCCCAACCTTTTTGATACCAGGGTCTGGCAAACCCATTCACAAACTTGGTGGACTGGTAACATTTTATATTGCGTATTATGTAAATGAATGTGCAAATAAAACATTACCAGTCCGCTAAAAGCCCAGCCCCCAGAACCCCCAGTCCCAACCCCTAGAATCCCCCACTCTTCCACTACCCCACAGCGCCAGTCAGACCCCAGTGTCCCCTGCACCCAACCCCCTAGTGCCAGCCTCCTCTTTCCAGAGCCCCACTGCACCCAACCCCCAATATTAGCCCCATACCCAGAGCCCCCCCAGTGCCAGCACTGCCCCATAGTCCCACCCCACTATTAGCTCAGCCTTCAGAGCCCCCTAGCACTAGTCCTGCCCACCTCACCTAGCCCTGAGCTGTTGCCCATGTTGCGGCAGCTATGGAGCTCAGGGCTGAGGTACAACGCCCAGTGCCAACCCTCCTGCTGTGGCTATTGGGAGAGGCGTGTCCTGCCCTGCCTCTCAGCCAACCACAACCATGCAGGGGAGGGTCTCCTTTGGCCACAGAAGAGCCTGGTGGTTGGGAACCGCTGTCTTAAAAGATTGGGACTAGCCTAAACCAGATACCAAAAAACTGGATGACTTCTGAAAAGAGACAAAATTAACCAGAACATGGAAATAATAAAATGATTTGCGAATAATCTTTTTTTGCCCTACAAGAAAAGACTAAATCGTCCCGAGACACATGAAGGCAACTCAGAAATTCAAGATGACCCAACAGTCTGTGATGTAGTCCTTGACGATGCCCCATTTCAAACAGAGAAGGTAGGAGGAGCAGCCATTCGCAGGCTAGAAGAAGCAGAGCTTCCAAAGTGATTTATGATAAGAATGGTTCTATAACTTGACTTAAAATCCCCTTCTAGACAGTTGTTTAATTAAAAATTAGTAATAATGCCTTGTACTCATGCTTGAATTTCCTTCCGGGGAAAAAAATGCCAGTCTTAACCAGCCCCCTCTGCCCCTTCCAATGATGCATCCATATTATCATGAAAGATTTCATCAATGAAGTCTCACACTTAATTCCCCCATCAAAGGTGATGCATTACCTAAAGAGAAAGCTTATCTCTTTGTTCACTACAAAGGGAAGTAAATAGCTACATTTAGGCAGGATCCAGGGTCATCCTTGCACTTCTGGTCATCATAGGCTCTACTTCTGCCGAATAATTTTTGTCCCAAATGAGCAAGTGAAATCACGAGAGTACTGAAACCTGCTCAGTCAAAAAAAGAGCAACATCCTTGCACAGGACATTGTGACTCAAACTGGAGAAAATATCAGCATAAACCTCCTGAGCTAACTTTTTTTTTTTTTAAAGAAGGAATTAGATTGGACCTGTGAAAAGAAGAAAAGGAGGCAAAAGCTAGAGGTTGCTAAATTTCACTGTTCCTATTGGATGCCTCCTACCTCATGCGTAACCTGTCTAGTGTGCACTAATGAGACAGGGCCACAGAAACTGAAAAAGTTTTGGACAGCTGCTAAGACATTTTCAGAAGGATGCCCTAAAATGTAAATTATTCAAATACTCAAAGTTACTAGCTGCGTTAACCTAAGATACACTCTTTGGAAGTTGAAAATGACGAGCAGACAAATCTTCTAGCCAGTTTACTTGTTGAAAGAAATAAAGTGCACACAACACATTGTGATTGATCATGAAGAACTCAAGTTTGATAAAGTTACTATACCCATTCTTCCAAACGAATCTCCAAAGCCCCGGTTCATTGCCATGTCACTCCGACCAAAATCTCTGTCCATACTTCCTCCCATTCCACCACGGAACATTTCTGCTGAGAATATACCAACAAGCTAGCAGAAGTTGCAATAAATTTTCTGTTATATTTTCAACATAAGATGATATAAATTACAGATTTCATGACTGCTCACTTAAAGGGAAAATAGTTGAAAACACAGGTCTGAAGAACTCAGATGTAAGTTTGCTAACTTACCTCCCATGCCAGTTGCCATGCCTCCCATACTGGTTCCAATGCCTCCACTCATTCCACTGCCCATATTTCCTCTGAAGTCATCTACGCTACCCATCCCTACGGTAAGAAGAGAGTTATAGTAACAGTAATCAATTAAGAACAGAAAGGGAGGTAAAAAAGGACACCTACCTCCCATTCTGCTGACTCCGCCGAATCCTCCCATGTTAGCCATTCCTTTCATTCCACCAAACCCACCGATGCCTGTGCAATAAGGAAAACGGTTTTCTATGCTATATTTTAAAGAAATTAACAAAAAATAAATAAGAGACACATATACCTCCTCCCATTCTGTTCATTCCTCCAAAGCCTGGGCCATCCATTCCCATACCTTAAAAAAGAAGAAGTTATACATATAGTTTAGAATACAGAAAAAGTTCTCTATTTAAAAACTCAGAGGAATTCTGCACCAAAATAAAAATTCTGTACACAATATTTTAAAATTCTGTATAAAATATTGTTTTGACACAATACGGTCACACCAGTTTCAATTACTTTGGTAATGTATTTCAAAACATTGTCAGCAGCTATGTCTGTAGCAACACAGACAAAAAAATTCCCAGGAGTGCTAAAGAAGCCCCAACAACAACTCAGTTCCTGTTTCTCTGCTTCTTCTCTCCTGCTCCTAGAGCTCAGGTGGAAGAGCCAGGTAAAGGGTTCCCTCCTAGTCCAAACACCCACACCTCAATGATCTAGAGGGAAAAAACAGCTTGATGCTGAGTCCCAGGTTTCTACAGTTTCCTACATGCTGTCTCCTCCTTCCAGGGCATGCCAGGAATCCTCCAGCTCCCTCCCCCTCACGAGGATATTCTATTTGCAAGCTGGGCTCTGTTGGGTCAAATATCTATTAGCTCTGCAGCCCACTTTTGTGGAACCAAAAAGCAATTCTGCACAAATACTCTAATGTGCAGATTTCCCCCAGGACTAAGTCAAATTCACATCATTCAAGGTTTACTTTGTTAAAGAGAAAAAGAAATAAAAAGTACACTTACCTCCTGGACCCATATTTCCCATTCCACCACCCATGCTCAACTGGGTTGCACTGATGGGCTGACCACCTGGTCCAAGTCCCATCCCAATACCTCCAAGACCACCTTTGAAAACGAGATAAAATAACACCACCCAGAGTCAGGATTAAATGGTTCACAATCATGCTGAAAGGCCATAACAAGTAGGGTTCCACAGGGGTCTGTTTTGGGACCGGTTCTGTTCAAGATCTTCTTCAATGATTTAGATAATGATATAGAGAATACACTTAAGCTTGCAGACACCACCAATCTGGGAGGGGTTGCAACTGCTTTGGAGGTTAAGGTCATAATTCAAAATAATCTCGACAAACTACAGAAAAGGAACCATCAGTTCACACAGAGAATGGAAAGTGATTGTCTAGGAAGGAGTACTGCAGAAAGGGATCTAGGGGTCATAGTGGAACACAAGCTAAATTAGAGTCAGTGTGACACTGTTGCCAAAAAAGCAAACTTGCTTCTAGGATGAATTAACAGGAGCGTTGTGAGCAAGACACAAGAAGTCATTCTTCTGCTCTACTTAGGTGTCAGCTGGAGTACTCATACCGTGTCCAGTTCTGGGCACCACATTTCAAGAAAGATGTGGAGAAGCTGGAGAAGGTCCAGAGAAGAGCAACAAAAAATGATTAAAGGTCTAGAGAACATGACCTATGACGGAAGGCTGAAAGAACTGGGCTGTTTTAGTTTAGAAAAGAGAAGACTGAGAGGGGACATAATAGCAGTTTTCAAATATCTAAAAGGGTGTTAGAAGGAGGAGGAAGAAAAATTGTTGTCCTTGGCCTCTGATGACAGGCAAGAAGCAATGGGTTTAAATTGCAGCAAGGGAGGTGTAGGTTGGAGAGGAGCCAAGGACAGGAGACCAAGCAGGGTCCATGGTGGTGAGAGCCCCTCCCCCACTCCTAGGAGAGCAGCACCACTCAGGGCGGGAGGGTTAAAACTTGGCACACCACTTCAGAAAGATGCTGACCCCTGGTGTAGCCGGTAGCATTAACTGATAAGCATCCTCTTATCGGTTAATTGTTTAACCAGCTACAATGTTACATCCCTACTTTCTGATGCTGACTAGGGATGTTAAATATCCGTTAACCTCATGAATTCTTATTGGTTACTCGACTGTATCAGAGGCAGCAACGTGGGGTGCCAGGCAGAATAGCAGGATAGCAGCAGGAGTGCAGGATAGCAGCAGCCTCTGTGCAGGGGAGGTCGGAGCTTCTGGACTTGGTGCAAGCCAGGACTGAGCTGGGCTGCTTGCTTGCCTAGCTCCTAATACACTTTAAATGCAGAGCCGCAACAGGGATAGGTCCTGGACCTGTTGCAAGCCAGGACTGAGCCGGGCTGCTGGCCAGGCTGCTAAAAATTTACTGGTGGAGGAGAGGAGGAAATGCATGTGGTCTATAGCATTAACCTATACATTTTTGCTGATCAGTTAATCGACTACACTATTTCACCCCTAATACTGACATCACACAGTTCCACACTGCACATCAAATTGAAGGAGTAAGACAAATTATAGCCCATACTCACGAGGTAACTGTGGTGTCTTGTTCTCCACCACACGGAAGTCTTCATGAGGAATTGACTTGTCGTCCTGTTGTGAAATGAGTATCAGGAGGGATTTCATTAACATTTTAGCTTACTTTTAGCTAAGATACAAAAGAATAGGCAGACAACTCACCATTTTTACATGCATGGGTCTATCAAACAGGAACTGTCCATTGAACATAGCTGAAGACCAAGTCAAAGAAGTTTGATCTGACAACCAAAGGTAACCTATCTACTTCTAAAGATTCATTTTTATAATTCAGCTTATCCTTCTCCTTCATTCTTCTTAGTGGTTCCCTCCCTCATTCTCCAGCCAAGAAGATCAGGTAGTTAGAATGATCGTTACAATCTACCACTCAAAACATTTTTCAACCCGCTGGACTGCCAACTCACCCTCTCTCTGTCTGGTCCAATGATCATTTATTTAAGCGTTTAGCCACAGCTGAACAGTCACTGGGTATGATTCAGTAGTTAGGCACTAACCTGTGAAGTGGCAGACTCTGATACAGTTCCCCCGCTCCATTCTATCATCATTTATCCACTATGGAATAGCTTCAACAAGAGAAGCTGAGGAAGCCCCACATCAGAATATCCTATCGTTCAGTGATAAGAGCACTTTCAGTTCAACCCTCCTCTCCAAAAGGGAGGCAGGAAAGACAGGAATTGTATCTATGTTTCCCACATCCCAGCTAAGTGCTCTAGCCATTGAGCTAACAGTTATAAGATAGGCACCACCACCTCCATATCTGATGCAGCATGTGCCCAGAAGCTGTCTCAAGCCATAAATCAACAAATTCCTATCTTCGCTGGGTTCATGAATTGCTCTGGGTCTTTGGCACCTGGACACCTAGAGCAGAAGCAGAAATACACTAAAGTCTAAAAATTAGGTGCCCAGGGAACTTGTACCAAGTTATTTTAGGCATTCACAGAGTTAGGGGTAGCCAGAAAGGAGTTATATGGACTCCAGTGGTGCCGTGCATGGGGATTCAGGTGCGTAATGATGAAGTTTAGTTGCCTAAGCTGTTTTGTGGAGTGTATGCAAAGCCTTTATATACACACAGAAACTGATGTTTAACATGCACATAAACCAGCTACAATATACAAGGATATAGTTTAGCTTTAAAAATCACATACAGGTTATACACCTCCCTAAACCAGGACTTTCTGGTCTGGTAGGACCATGGATTTTCCTGGACCACAGAGCCCAGGAACAGGGAGGACTGGTGGTGTGACAGGAAGGAGCGGTGAGGGGAGGGGAAGTAGGGTTGGGCTGGTGATGCAACTGGGAGCCCTGTGTTAGCAGGGACAGGCTTCAGGTGCCACGGAGCTCTTACCTGGGGTGTTCCAGCCAGACACGTGGCAAAGAGGCTGGGGCTGGAGCTGGGCAGCAACAGGGCCGGTCTGGAGCCCTAGCCCAGGGGCAGCATGGGCCATAAGGGAAGGGACCTTCCCTTGTCTGGAAAATGCCCTTGTTCAGGTCCGGTCAGGTCCTGAGGGGGCCAAACCAGGGAGGCCCAACCTATACATTCATATGTTATCCAATGCAAACTGAATACACATTTAAAAAGTTGCTCCTTTAACCAGATAACTAAATTCTTTAAAATAAATAAATAAATGGATACATATCGCCTGAACTGCTTCAATTGCTTGTTCAAAAGTGACTGTCCCCATTCCTCGACTCTTGCCATCCTTGTCTTCTTTGATGTCTGCACGTTTTACAGTTCCAGCAATACTGAAAACCTCCTTTAGTTTCTTCCAGCCAACTTTAAAGTCAAGCTGAATATATAAAATTAAACAAATTACAATACATTTATCTTGTCTCTAAATAATTTAGAAGACATTTTGTAGCATAGTAACCTTTTAGACTCCTAAAATATGACACACAGGAAAACACTATGTTTTTTATAGCACATGCCCACCACATGGTTACTTAAGTCTAACAAGTAAAATCTCTTTGTGCAAATTCTGAGCTAGGAAGAGAATAAATAAGAATGAAGAGAATTGGAGTAAACTATCACTTCAAAAGAATATAAAAGAGTGTGTTACCACAGGGTAACTAGCAAGATTCTCTGCACAAAGTTGGATTCATATGACAGCAAATACACTTGACAACTAACAAATACACTCAGTTTTAAAGAGCAGCTAAAGTTAATTACTAGAAATAAACCAATCTGTAAGTACTATTTAAAAAATTGGAAGGAAGGACTGAAACAGAGCAAAGACTTTCAAAAAGACCAGATAGCAATAGTTTACTGCTACTTCGGTTTATAAAACCAAAATACTTATATCTGGACACATGCATGCTCTCTCATTCTTTGGCTTCTGGAAAGAAATACCAGGCCTTAAAATTAGTTCATATGCATTAGTTCATATGCATTTTCTTTTAAAATGACAGTGAATGGATATTCTTGTGTACTGCCCAGAGATTGATGCTATTGAATGTAAGGATTTTAAGTAGGGCTGTCAATTAATCTGCGTTAATTTTTTTAATGTGTTAATCGCAAGTGTTAATGCTGCACTGTCCCTTTGAAGCGCCACTCCAGTGCTTCAAAGGGACTTTGCTATAGCGGAGCCAGGGATCAGCTGGAGTCCCCAGCTGATCCCAGGTTCCTAACATGCTGCCCCTTGGAAACGCCGCCGCGGGGCAGCACTGCATGGAGCCCAGGGTCAGCTGGGGACTCCAGCCGCTCCTGGGCTCCATGCAGTACTGCCCTGTTAAAAAGCTGCTGCAGCATTTCAAAGGGGTGATGCACGCTATTAATCACAATTATATGCAATTAATCTCAATTAAATTTTGTAATCGCTTGACAGCCCTAATTTTAAGATAGACTAGACATTAACATTTTAAAATATGTGCTTAAACTTACATTAGCAACAAAAATCGTGGACCCAAGCCTGCCAGCTTGCAAATTACTGATAATCTCAGGAGGAATGTTTGGATTATTGAGAATTGAAGGGGGCAAATTCATCAATCCAGGTGCCATATCTGGCCCATGTCCTCCTGGGAACGGTCCTCCCACACGCTGTAATGCCCTACGTGCATGTTCACCATCAGGATCCTAGAATACATTTAAAAATAAAGCTAACATTTTCATCAACAGCAGGACTGACATTTGAACAAAAAGAGCATTATTTTCAAGTTTCACAAAAACCCCATCAACTAATATCCTTGTCAGCATCAGCAGAGGGACCAAGCACTTAATTAGCATGGAGACCTAATTCCCTCACCTCTAGAGGTGGGTCCTTTCAGATGAGGGTTGAGGCATATTGGCAAAGCACTTGTTGAGGAAGCGTGCACTGCCACTTCACATGCTGTACCTAGCCTATGGACAAGTAGAAAAGATTTCAATCTAATGGGCTGTCAGTCTAGTACCTTTTTCCAAGCACTGAATTCATTCAATGAATTTTTTGATTTATTAATTCCATGATAAAAAAAAAGTAACAGAACATTCCAAATACCTATTATAGGACCCAACACTATACTGCACTGAAAATTTTGACACTTATTTGAAATCTCAATTTGCACAATCTATTTTCACCCGTCCCACTACAAAATGGTCAGAACAATCTGACTAGCAGACTAGAGTTAAGTCATATTTTAATAAAAGTATAAAAATTGAAAGTAACAGCCAAAATGATGACATATCTCCTAACTTCCTACCACTTTCCTCTACCATTTAAAAAAAGGCATTTGCTTATTTTGGCATATGACGTGTCCTAAGGACTGGAGTGATTGTCACATAGGTTTCCTTAGACAACAAGGGCTCTGCTGGTCCCCTGTCACTGTGCCTTCTGTGATCCTAAGAGGCCTCTCAAATTTAGAAAGTAGTAAATATGTATAGCTAGCAGATCACTTAATGTTAGTGTAAAGCCATTTTAGGTAATCCTAAAAAAAGATGGCATCAATTTAAGCAGAACAAAGTAACATGCATACCTCTTTAATGTTCAGGGGTCTTCCACTAAGATCATATTTGTTCATTGTTTCTAGTGCTTTCTTTACAAATTCTTCATCTTTGAATTCAACCACCCTGAAGAAGGAACAAAATATTTAGAGTACTAAAAGTAAAGTTAATTTTTCAAAGCTAGGAAAGTATTTGACAGTGATGTCTTTACACACACACACACAAACTTACCCACAACCCTATATCCACGATGAAGATTCATTAACACATGTAAGGAGAAAATAAAAAAAAAAAAGATGTGAGTCAGTAAATTTAACTAATAAAATATTTTAAGATTCCATATTACTGTTAAATAATGGTTGAAATTTCAACTCCAGAATTTAAACATATGCTTTTTACTGGTAGCCAAAATTTGATTTCACTGTTTCTTTTGAATAAAGAATACTGCAGTGGAAATTACAACTAAAATACAAAAAGACAATACGCTAAACCTTTTTTATTCTCTTTGAGCCAGACCAGAATTGGACTATAGAAAAATGCCACACAGATTAATAAAAACAGTTGAAAGAACTGGATCAACACATACTGGATGCAGTGTGTCACTGGTTGCTGACTTTTAAGTACAAAATTAAATTCCACATTCATATCACATACAAGGATTTTGTGTACCTATCCAAATTATTTTTAAAAAGTTGTTACTTTTCATGAAAATAAATTACTGACTGCACCAAAACCCATTTAATAGAGCAACCAGTTCAGGATTGCTGTAAGTGAGCAGCAATATAAAGACTAACCCGAAAACACACAATTGTTTTACAAGTGTTAGGGAAAACATTTACAACAATTTTAGAATCAAACCTGCATTTCTAGGATCATACAGCAGGTTAAGATATACTATAGTTCAAACTTTTGACTGAAAAAAGACAAAGGAGCCTTTAACAATCTTCATTCTCAGTGCTTCATCTCCTTCCATTCAGTTTAAAAAACAGGCAAATTCAGTAATCCGAAGTGTTCAAAGCACTAGTCCTGTAAACTGTCAAATTAGATACTTCAAACAGTATAGTCTTAACATTTTATACTTAATGGCCTCAGATAAAAATATTTCACTTGCAAAATGTGTCAATTCAGTAGTTCTTTTTGAAGTCCTTTACATAAAACAGATTTAGAACACAACAAAAATCCTAAAATAGAGTGTTGGCTGAAAAGTATTACCTTAGGAGAATTAAGTAAATGCCATTTGTTGACTTTTATAAAATAGCTTGTCCCTTACATCCAGCTAGTTTGATTTACATGAAAGTGTCAGACTGATTCTAATGCAGAAGCCTCAAGTCTATCATAATAAAATAAAAATGAAACTTACTTTCCAATAACTGGTACAGGTATTATACAAAAATAAAACTGCTGAGGAACTTTTAAACCTCTAGCAGATTGTTGCCCACGGCACTTACCCTTGATTTTCCTTCAGCATCCTTAAACAGCTCCACGTATGTAACCTCACCAACTACATAAGACATACAAAGGGAAAATACCAAGAGACAATGCATTTAAACACCAATATCTTGCTTTACTGTGCCCCTGTGCACAACTCTACAGAGAAGCACCTATTATTCACCAACAATCAAAACCAGACCAACATACCTCCTGTCAATGGCTATAGAATTTAGCTAATTTTCAGAAATATGCAGCAGCCACATTCTCAAGAGCTATACAAACAACTATATTTAACCTAATTCATACTACAGATCATATTTTGGCCAGTATGATATAGTTGGTGAACAAATTCAGATACACACTTGGTCCCTTAACCTAACAAATTAGAACATCAACATTAGCACTTGTCAGTGACATTTGTCATCCTACTCACAACAGCTGTTTTAAGGTGACTTTCTACCTGAATGTCTTCAATCATAAGAGTTTGCCTTCAATATAATAACCAAATTTACAAGTCAAATATTTCACAGCAAGCCACACACTTTCTAAAGTTTCGATGAATAAAACCAATCAAATAGTCATGTCACCTTACAACAGATACACCAAGCACAGTTACAAAAGTTATTGGCATTATTTAACAGCCTAGAAGCCAAGTGTGCTTTGCATTACTTTTGAAGAATCAATATTTTCAAGAAGGATAAAAGGTCTAACTTTTTACAGAATTCTTATTAAAGTTATTTTTCCCCAAACTGTCCAGCGTAAAAAGTTTGGGGTGTTCAAATGACTATCAAAACTGCAACAGCAGTAACACACTTTTAATAGAGATCTCCAGACAGTCAGTCATGACAGTAGTGACAATGCAGACAAAGTTAATTCCACAGCCAGATTCCACCAAGGAAATACAAAACATCATTTGAAATACACACTAAAGTGTATTGCTTAAATACAATAGCCCTTTTAAAATCTACAAAGACTACAACTAGACAAAACACAATCTCTTTAAAAAGTCATGAGGGCATGCATATTCTCTCTACTGTCACACTAGAATGGCAAAAGATTGTAAACCCTTCATTTTCCCATACTATTCCTGCAATGCAGTTGTCTCATATGAAGGGGGAGGGAGGGGATATAGATGTATCAAGTAAAGGCCAAAAAAAAAATGCAAGTCAAATCTGTGTGGCTCAAAGGACAAAAATATTTTAAGTTCCTCCCCTTCCTATATGAAGTGAGTTATCAGTAGCGAATTACCTTTCTCTCTCATAAGATCTTTAATAGCTTGCCATTTCATGTCATATGGGATGTTACTAATGAAAACTCTGTTCCGGTTAATAGTCTTCTTCTCTCCAGTGCCTGAATTCTTGTCCTTTGAATAAGGATGGAATCTATTCTTGTTTCCAAGAGATGGAATTGCCTTCGGTTTTGGAACATACTTTTCCTTCACAGGTGCTTTCTCTTCCTTTGCTGTCTCATCATTATCCCTATATTTTCAAGAGGCAGACAAATTAGTGTTGCTTTTAGATAAATGTTACGATTCTATACTTATAGCATGTCAAAAAGTGGAATTTGCCCTATCAACTTCGCAACAACCATCCAGAACTCCCTACTTCAAGATATTTTAAGCATTATTCCATTTTAAACCATCTCATTTCATCAACACACTATTTTTGTGCGGCAACAAAGTTGTAGTTTGCAAAGAAAGGCCACACTGTTCCATTGTAATTACAGTAGTTAGTTAAGCTGTATTTCTGTTCTAATATACCGATCAAGATCCAGCAAGATGATGTTATAAAGAAACTGATTAAAAATGTGTGTAACTGAACTGTATCATCCTAATTATTACAAGCCTTAAGACTTAGGTGTTTTAAATAGTGTACTGAAAAGACTTTGTGTAAGACACCATTTACAATTACATATTAACTCTCATATCTATGTGTTACAAGATCACAGAAGAAATGGATGCGGAACTCTTGCTTAAGGTATTATGGGAGCAAAACACTAGCTTCACAACTCCTCACAAGCTGTATTTGAAGGACCTAAAAATTTACACCAGTTTTGACAAATTTAATACATTGCTGCACTGTTTGGTTTATGTGTATTGAAGACTTATGAAATTAAGAACTAAGATTCACGAATAACTACTTCTTGAAATGTAATCGACATACATATCCTGAGTGTGAAATTAAATCAATTTATTACTGTCAAGCTACATAAATAGGTCTATATTATAGAATTTTTCATTTATTATCCATCCACAAAGAAACTCCAATTTTATAAATTCAGAGTGGCAGCACAGGAAGTTCAACAACAAAGTTCCTGAACCTGCATACACAGATGCAAATTTGTAACTACTAACCTGAGTAGGTCTATTATTAACATTGTAAGGTTAAATAGTACATAATTAATTACAGTACAGGGTATCCCCACTATAAGTCACCCCAGTATACATCTGGTCTGCACTAAAGTCATGGATGCTAGTAGGAAGTGATGCACTGCAAGTCCTCCCATTCCCCACTCTTAGGTCATTAAAAAAAAATCCCAATTTCCGCAAATGGAAGTCGGGCGCAGGGGGGAAAAAATCCCCCTTTTAAGTTGCTTTGCTATAAATCCCAAGTTTTTGGAACGTATCTTGGACTTATATTATTCTAATACAGGCCATTCTCGCTATATTGTTCACTTTCACATGAATATATCTTGTTACAGAATTTAAACAGACTGGAATTTGTCATACAGGTTTCCTTCTATCCACCTGCACAAAGGACTCATGGTTCTAAGCCAAGATGGCTTTACAGATGGAGGGGTACAAAATATAGCAGCAATACATCTCCTGAAAAAAGTGGTATAAACACAACAAGTGATGGTATTTAACGACAAAGGTTCCATTGCTCCAGTGTGACCTGTGGCTTGCCATGGAGCGATGAACCCTTACATGAACTCCCACTCATAACCCTTACATATGTTTTCTGTACATGACAAGGGGTTATATGTATGTAATACCCTATAATTTTGCTGGAAGAGTTGGAGAGTTCGTGTAGAAAGCAATACATGATATGATTTTGGGTAACAGGTTTTACTGTTAAGTCACTGCCATAACAGTTGCATTCTCAGAATGTAGTTAAAAAGTGTGACTGCAACCATATTGTATTTTGATGTGTGCACAGCAATCTGAAAACACCAGGCTCTACATATGGCCTGAAACCAGACTCCTGTTTGTATTGTTCCTGAACATTTTAGAGCCAGGTGAACAACAACAACAGAACAGTACACCAAGGTGTGTAAAATATGATCTACACAAATATCATATGTGGTCAAGACTACCATGAAATAAATGCCTTCATTCTGCACTCCTTTCATAAATATTCTTATTTTTAATCTGACCTCAGGTGTATTTACCACAATCCATACTTAGCGTTCAGACACTAAACATTAAAGACACCTGTAACAAAATATGCTTTCCTCCCAGATGTGAGCTGAGGAGTTGAAAGTTTTACTGATTTGAGATCAAAGATTTCCTTGATTCAACCAACAATTGAAGGTGTAATATAAAGAATCATCAATACCAGAAAATCCACTTGTTTTATCACACTGAAAACTGAAATTCTGAGCTCCCTAATAATATTGCACATCTGCCGCTGACAGTTCATTTCTTACTGGATCTTAAAACACCACTGTGATTTACAGGAAAACTGTTGATTTGTAAAATCTTTTTACAACTGTGTTATCAGTACAGATTTCTTTCTATCCACCTGCACAAAGGACTCATGGTTCTAAGCCAACATGGCTTTACAGATGGGAGAAGAGGGTGTGTACAACAATTAGCAGCAATGCAGCTCCTGAAAAGTGTGGTATAAACAGAGCAAGTTTATATTTGATGACATAAAGGTTCCATTGCTCTAGTGACCTGTGGCTAGCCCTGGGAGAGGATAAACTCCCACTCATAACCCTTACAGAATCGCATACTTACTGTCTGTGTTACACGCACAGACTTGGACTCAGCGAACAGACACCACCTTTGGGAGGGGGAGGGCAATAGGCACCGCTCTCAATGATCAGACCGAAAAACCTGGCCGTCGTTAAAATAATGACATGGCTCTGCTTTGCCGCAGGGCCACGCTCGCCGTATTCCCAAGAGGTTAATGGGGTAAACTACCCTCCCCTAGCGCGGCTCCTCACCGCAGGGCAGCCCTCATGAGCCTCCCGTCTCATCCCCTTCACCTTAACCCCCTTCTCCTCGCCGCCAGACTACAGCCTATACCACAACTACTGAAACTAACGGGGGGGAAGGGGTTCCCGCTTCTCCCCCCAAGTGGTGGGGCTCTCCTGGAATAGCCCACTCTTCAGGGGAGGGGAGGGGAGGGGAGGGAGAAGAGGGGACGGGCTCTTCTCTACCGCGGCCTAGGCGGCCACTAAATCCCCGCGCTCAAGTAGCCACATAGCCCAGGCCCCTCCCGCTCGCCCCAGGCTGGGAGCCCAGGCCCAACCCCGCACACACATTTTGACGCCATTGGCGCTGCCCCCACTCTCGTTCGCTGCTACCGCTGCGTTTGAAAAGGCCCCTGAGCTCCTGGACTCTCCGCGCCGGCCCGGCCAGCTCTCGCGAGAACGCGTCCGACGGAAGGGGAGCGAAGAGGGCTGCTGGGTTGCCATAGCGACACCAGAGGCCTCTCGCCCTCCTCTCTCCCAGGCGGGGATGTTTCACGGGCGCCGGGGCAAGGCCGCCCCTTCATTACCCCCCAGGGTGCGTTTGAAAAGGCCCCTGAGCTCCTGGACTCTCCGCGCCGGCCCGGCCAGCTCTCGCGAGAACGCGTCCGACGGAAGGGGAGCGAAGAGGGCTGCTGGGTTGCCATAGCGACACCAGAGGCCTCTCGCCCTCCTCTCTCCCAGGCGGGGATGTTTCACGGGCGCCGGGGCAAGGCCGCCCCTTCATTACCCCCCAGGGTTGACAACGCTGATGAACGCTATTCCCAGAGACCAATCCTGCAGGACTGGCAACCCTACAGCCGCTTCCAGCTCCTGTGTTGAGAGTACCCCTTCCCACAAGACATTTCCCAGCGCTCTTCCCGCATACGCCCGCCCTGTCCCGTCCCCCCCGCGGACCTGCTGCCAATTCTAACTACCCCGAGACCCTTTCCGCCCAAAAAATCCTCTCTGCAGCCATAAATGTTCAGCAACGCCCCCAGCCTCACCTAGAGCCCCCAAAAAACAGTCCCACCTTGAAATAGCCAATAACCCCCGCTCTCTCCTCGGTTCTTAAGTCCAAAACTATAACAGGGTTCAACAAATAGCTTGATAAATTCACGAAGCTGTTAGCCAGGATGGGCAGGGATTGTGTCCCTAGCCTCTGTGGAAGCTGGGAATGGGTGGAAGCTGGAGAGGGGTCACTTGATGATTGCCTGTTCTGTTCATTCCCTCTGGGGCACCTGGCACTGGCCACTGTTGGAAGACAGGATATTGGGATAGATGGGCTTTTGGCTTTTCTTATGTTCTTACAAGCCTACCCCCAAAACTCCCATTGCTATATTTTCAGTCACTTGACACTGATACCACTTCACCGCCAAAAAACATAATTGGTTTTCACCACTTAATTGTTCCATTAAATGTACCTAGGATTACACCAAAACTATCTGCACTCAGCACTAAGGCTGTGTCTAGACTGCATCCCTTTTTCGTAAAAGGGATGCAAATTAGACATCGCAATTGCAAATGAAGCAGGGATTTAAATCTCCCCTGCTTCATTAGCATAAAAATGGCTGCCGCTTTTTTCCGGCTCGGAGCTTTGCCAGAAAAAAGCGCCAGTCTAGACACGGATCTTTCAGAAAATAAAGCCTTTTCCGAAAGATCCCTTATCCCTCTTAAATGAGGAATCAGGGGAATCAGTCGAATCAGCCTAAAGCCGGCCCTGTGGGTAAGTCTATACAACAAATAACATCCTGCAGGTCATAGCCTCTTAAAAATGAGGGATAAGGGATCTTTCGGAAAAGGCTTTATTTTCCGAAAGATCTGCGTCTAGACTGGCGCTTTTTTCCGGCAAAGCTCCAAGCCAGAAAAAAGCGGCAGCCATTTTTATGCTAATGAAGCAGGGGAGATTTAAATCCCTGCTTCATTTGCAATTGCGATATGTCTAATTTGCATCCCTTTTATGAAAAAGGGATGCAATCTAGACACAGCCTAACTGTCCAATAGCTATCATTCAGTCTGAAATGTTTCTCCCTCCCTCCAAAATTATCCACCTAGCTTTCAAAACAATTGTCAGTAAAAGACCATAAACCAAATACAAATGGATAAGCAGGGCCGGCTTTAGGAAGTGCGGGGCCCAATTCGAACAGTTTTGACAGGGCCCCGGCAGCCAGGATTTTTTTGTTGAGTGAAAAACAAAACAAAACACAAAAAAAACCACCGCACATAAAAAAAGAGTCACAGCCTCTTTAAATTCCCAGCTACAGAGCAGAGTCATGTCTCGCCTTCCCACCAAACCCCAGGGCCAACCCCCCCTCCCGCAGCGCAGGGAAACCCCTGCGCTCAACTCACCCCTCCGGCAGCGCAGGGAAGCCGCCACCCTCCTCCTCCGGGGCTGGCACCCCCTCCTGCAGCGTGCCTGGCACGCCAGCAGACTTCCAGCTTTAGGGCATGTGGCCCTCTTAGGCGCAGGGTCCGATTCAGGGGAATCAGTCGAATCAGCCTAAAGCCGGCCCTATGGGTAAGTCTATACAACAAACAACATCCTGGAGGTCATACATAGCCTCTTAAAAATAAGCTTTGTCCTGTACTTTTAATTGTGCTTTTTTCCATTAACTTATCTCCAGCCTTAGGGAGGTTCCACATATCTGTACCACTGTTTGGTTTCTCAACTCTGTGGACCAAATTCATCCCACCATTGGTGCTATGCACAGCACAGGTATAACATATCTCCCCACTTACAGGGCTTCCAAGCGATGCTTTTGACCTCCACACATACCACCACATCCTTATACAGGTCACATCATCCCCAACGGCTTCCTTAGTTTTTGTCCTGGTAGCAACTATTTCCCTATGAGTAATTCTAAAAGAAATGGCCCTGGCAAAAGAACACCCTCACCACTTTCCTTGCAAACCTCTTGAGGTGAGGATTCCTGATGAGAATAGCAAAGAACCAGCTATACTGTACTAACTTTGTTGTTGTGTGAGGGACCCTATTTCACATGTATTCCCCAAAGGGGCCTTTCAGTGGCCTCAATGCAAGAATGGATTTCTCTATGTCTAATTGTGACACTACCACCAAACTATCTGCTCTAAGCTCATAGACAACAGAAAGTGTATTTTTCTCCAGGCTCTTCTCTATATTTTTCTATGGTTAGCATTATCACTTGCTACACATTAAGATAGAGTGCTGTTTATCTCACTCACTGGTTTTTATGCTGCTGGATGGTTCTTATTGTTATTGAAAGTTTAATTTTTTTGAGGATATTCAAAGCTTCTGGATGGACATTATTAAATCTACATAATAAAACTCTGCACAGCATTTTCCAGACATATAAGAAGATACAGTCAATACCCCAAAGATCTATAACCAAAAGACCCAATCCAGTCTCACACTGGCAATAGGTACATATCAGCTTTCAAACTGAAAGATATTCCTTTCAGCATAGGCTGATTTGACTCCCTTTCCCAATCCATTTAATCCTACTTTCCCCATATCATTTGAAAAATATTAACATTAAATGATTTTGGATTTAACTTAGAAATTTAAAAAGCAACTATCAATCTGATATCTCAGTATCTTTTAAATGAGGGAGAATATTATATGCCCTATGGCGAATTATTTTAGACCAGTGGTCCCCAACCTTTCGGGGCTGCCAGGCGCCCGGGGGCGGGGCCACTCATGCACTGGGCACCTGGGGGTGGGACCACCCATACGCCACATGCCCAGTGCCGGTGCCACCCATGTGCCGTACTCCCGGGGCCGGCGCCGATCCTGTGCCGCGCGCCCAAGGCGGGGCCACTCATACACCGCACGACCAGGGCCAGAACAGCCCATGCGCTGCATGCCCAGGGCCGGCGCCACTCCTGTGCTACGCGCCCAGAGGCGGGGATGCCCATACACCGCACGCCCAGGAACCGGCAGCGTCCATGTGCCACGCGCCCAGGGGCAGGGCCGGTCCCGATCACTCGGCGGGAGCACAGAAATGGCCCAGTGGGCGCCATGGCGCCCGCGGGCACCACGTTGGGGACCACTGTTTTAGACCATTCTAGAGCTCAAGATCTACCTCCTTTGTGGGCTTCTCTTTTGGCCTGTATTATCATGGCTATGACGCCACCAGCCTTGACAATATTATGGAGATTTTGGAGGAAATCCTGAAAATGTAAGAGAGATACTAAAAAGCCTAGGTTCCAGCTATGTCTACACTATAGGGACTACTCCAGTATAGCTATGGAGCTGTAGCTGTGTCCACATAACCCCTTAGTGTAGACAGGCAACAGTGGCAGAAGGGTTTTTCCCCCATTGTTGTAGGAACACAACCTCCTTGAGCAATGGTAGCTAGTGCAACAGAAGCATTCTGCCTTCAACCTAGTTGCTTCTGCTCCAGGGGTTAAGCTGGCATAGCTACAGTGCTTGGGTTGTGCATATTTCATGCCCCTGAGCACAATAGCTATGATGGCCTACATTTTAAGTGTACATCAGGCTCATCATAAGCCTAAAATTAGGTAGGTGTGGCTGAGTGCATTCTGCCTAGGGTGAATGATAACATGCTATTCAAGCTTTACTAAAAGCTGCACAATTGCTGGATGTTTTTGCTATAATGATGAGTAATGAACTGATTAATGTTGTCTATAAATTGTTGTCAATATGTTTTAGAGCTATCATTGCACTGAGATGAAAGGGAGTAATTCACGCCTTTATATTATTGGACCAAGTATAGAAACCTGAGGCTTTGCACAGGGTAATCTAAACAAATGTTCAGGAAAAGGGAGTTTATACCTCAAACCTAGTGTATTGATTTAACGTGGCTAAAGGAAGATTCCTCTGCTGCTTTTTAGCCCATATGCTCTAGTAGGAGCTAAGATTCTTGCATACTTCCTACATAGAGGTTTAGACCTTTGTACACATGTTGAGAGAGCTGTACTGGCTCTACTATCTTTCCTGCACCATGCCATCAGATTTGACAGTTATACCTTTGGCCTGGTCTATATACAGATTTTGCACTGGTATAACTATATTAGTTAGAAACGTGATTTTTTACAGATATATCAGTACAATCCATAACACTGATGCACAGTGTAGCTAATTCCTTTTCCTATACAGGAATAATGTTAAACTTAAAAAACAACAAAGAAATGGGCTGTGTCCACGAAAGCTCATGATACCATCTACATGTTTTGTTAGTCTTCAAAGTGCTACCAGACTATTTGTTGTTTTTTAAGTTTATCATGTACAGACTAACTCGCATACTCGTCTGAAGGAATAATGTTGTGTGTATACCAAAGTTTGTAGTGTAGACAAGTTTGGATAGTCTAAGGTAAGAGGGACTATTATCTTCCCGCAACTCCATTGCACCCTATTAAAAAAACTCTTTTCCTGACAGACTCTTTTCCAAACCTCCTTTTTTGGAGCATAAGGATCTGGCGGGAAAAGGGTTTTTTGCACAAAAAGAAAATGTCCACACTACTTTTTTTCCGAAAAAGCCCTTTGCTCAAACCCACCTTGCATAAATTATGCAAATGAGGCACAGTGATATGCTAATCTGCAACTCATTTGCATACTCGCTGCTAGCAAAAACGGCGGTGTGGACGTAGCCTCAGAGGAGTGGATTTTTCACATCCCAGGAGACAGCTAATCCAAAGCAAATTCTTTGCACAGACCAGGCCTCAGGCTTTTTTTTGGGTAGGAGTGGAGGAGTGGAATGTGTATGGTTTGTTGTTGGGGAAGATCTCCCCGTTTGCTGGTGTTTTAAAAATTATTTTCACACAAGGCCCCATTCCAGCAAAACGTGCAAAATGTTTAAGACATGACAAATCTCATTGAGACCAATTTGACTACTCATATGTGTATAATTACGTATGTGCCTAAGTGCTTTGCTGGATAGGGGCCCTGAAATCTAGAACATCTTTTTTTTTTTTTCATTCTATTCCAGATTAATTTTCCTGTGTCCAAAACATTGTTGTCTTATACTTCTTACTCAGAAATGGATCATCTGAGATTTTGGTGTACAGTGTCCTGAAGGGCATGGAGGAGAAGTGAAGGGAATTAAGAGAGGCACAGAGAGGAACCGGGTGAGGTAGAGTGGTATAACATTGTTAAAAAAATTAAACATGAACAATTACTAGATATACATAATTTAGCATTTCAGATAGATAAAAGTATTTCTCCATCAACCTATTCATTCTCTTCCATTTTCCACTCCCACTCATATATCACACATCTCTTATAGATTTGCTGAAAACTCTAGGATGGGAGCCTAAGGCTACATGTAGACTGCCACTTTTCTGCAATTTGCGTAACTTTTTCCGATTGTTTTTCAGAAGAGGCTTTTCAGAAATTTGACCCATCCATATTGGGCCAAATTTCAGAAAAACCTCCTCTTTCAGAAGAGCCCTTCTTCCTTGTGAAATGAGGAAGACAGGGCTTCTGAAAGAGCGCGTCTGCTCTTCCGCAAAAAAGCCAGAATAGTGGACGCATTCCCTGGATGGGCACTGGCTGGGAGGGCAGTCAGCACAGGACCCTGAAGTCACGAGGCCCAAGGCAACCGCCTTGTTCACCTTGCCCTAAGTCCAGGCCTGCACCTCACCCAGGGCAGTGGGGCTCAGGCTTCAGTTCCCCCATCCTGGGGTCGTGAAGTATTTTTTGTTCTCAGAGGGAGTCACAGTGCAATCAAGTTTGAGAACTCCTGCCCTAAACATTAAAAAGTCTGAAAATAAACAGTGACAGCATATAGCCTGCCACTCATGCTCACCCCACTTGCCTTGTACCACCTAACCAGCCTTAATTTTGTCTAATGAAATTTGTAAAGATCAAAAATATGAAATTACTAGATGACTATAAAATCTCAATTCCTATTCAAGGGATGCATTTTCAAGATACCCTTAATCCTCTTTTGGAAAGCAATCTAAGGTCAAATCAGTGCAAACTCTAAATGAAGTCAATGGGGAGTCCATTGCTGAATTCCATAGAAATTAATCCTGATGAAAAATGGAAAATGAGGGAGTGATGAAAGTTCTATATGTTGAAGTATCTAGGACACTCACAGAGTTAACTAGTTTGCCTTCCAAGAATTCACCACAGGGGGGAATGATGGTTTCATTTCTTTTCATCATTAATTGTTTTTCCATTCTGAAGTACAACACCTTAGACTGTACAGAGAGTGTTAAAAACCAGACCTACTAGTGTACATCTATACAGCAGCACTATTTTAGAACAATTGACATTATTCTGAAATAATATAGTGCGCATCTACACTGCAAGTCTTTATTTCAAAATAATGTCAAGCTGGAAGACTTCTTCTCCAACTCATAGTAACCCTCATTTCACGAGGAGTAAGGGAAGTCGAAGGAAGTGTTTTTCCTTCGACTTCTTGCAGTGTAAACAGCACTTAAAGCCAAGGTAAGCTATTTCGACTTAAGCTACGCAATTGATGTAGCTGAAGTTGCGTAGTTTAATTCGACTGTAGCCCTACTGTGTAGACATATGCATACTGACAACCAGCAGCTCTCTCATTCTCCACTGCTGGCTACTCACTGTTTCTCCAGTTTGGTGTCCATGAAAAATGGAAGTCAAACAAATAAAAATGCAGGGAGGGAAGTGTTTGAAATAGAACCACAAGAACCAGTTTCAAGAACCAGTTGCAGGAGATCAGGCTACTCAAGCCTGCAATAGTATACATTTGAAGAGCATAATTATTATCATTTTAAATGATTCATTTCAGCATCTATTCGAATAGGAGGAAAACAGCACAAGGATTTCCCCAAATCATTCCTAGAGGAGGCAGGGGTGAATGAACTGCACTTCCACAGCTAGAACAATATAGATCTTGAAGGCTCTGCAGGAGGCAGGAGCTATCCATATAGAGGCTATCTCCAGTGGCTCAGGCATGCTCTGCCCCCCGATTCCTAGCCAGGCAACGCCATCCATTTGAGTCATATTACCATTTTAAAGGAGCTAAGTGTCTTTACATATAAAAATCTCTTTTAAAATTAACTTTATATTATGTAACAATTTCAGTAATAAACATAATTTATGATGTGATCATAAAGATCCATTAAAGGAGAGCAATGACACAGGTTTGTTGTGGTAGAAGTGGTAGTAGTAAACATTTCTATTAGGAGAGTGCCCAAAGACTTATGACTTTGTTGTGCTTGGTACTATGCAAACAAGGAAAAAAGAGATGACTATATAAATATATTAAGATCCATCAGGAAAAAATCCTTCCCCCTATTTCTCCAGAAAATAACTTTACAAATAATATTTATCATATTTATTTAAAAATATTTAAACTATTTTATTGAAGCAATAAAAAACTCTTTCAAAATATGTATTTATACCAGGACTTGTCCTGTCTCTAGCCTTTAGCCTTATGCTTTAGCACATTCCTAAGGTGTACAACTTGCCACTGTATTGCAAACTTTGTCAGCCTTGATACTTACTTTTATACCTGTCCTGTGCCACTGAAATCCACTGCATTTCCAATAGGAGTGCTAGCTGCTGGAATGCACAGAAATGGAATGATCAGTTAAAATGTGCTTGAACAGGTTTTTTAATTTGATATATGTATCCAACTTAAAAACAATTCTTCATCTGGTAGCTGCATGTTAATACTACCTTCTAATATGGTAAGTGGAATTCTTATTTTTTTAAAATTAATATTTACATAGATTTATGCTAATTAGATACAAACTTGATAAATAGGCTTCAACACTAATAACTGCTCCTGGGCATGATTACTGTTAATCATTATTTATTATAAAATTGCTGGGAGGAGGGATGCTGGCAATGCAGGAGACAGATACAAAATAAAATACCTTACACAAACCAGTTGACTGTTATGGGCTAAACCTTGCTCATTTACACCACACCAGTTGCTTGTAGAAGAGCTGGATTTGGGCCTGGGGTTTTTAACATGACTCTTGCTTTCTCATTAATGACTAGATGGTAGTTGAGATCAAAAGTAGTAACAGTGCTCCCCATAGGGTAATACCCCTCACTCAGGAGATCCAGGACTGATGCCGCTAGGATTTTAGCAATGCCCTGATTATAAACCAGCTGCCTCAGAAATTGCTTGACAGTTAGTTCACAGGTCTGGATATTGGGCAGCAGCTAACTCTGTCTCTGAATCAGGAGGATTGATACAGCTATGGGGATGCACCTTTCCCTTGATAAATAAAATAAAATATTACTTAAACAAACAGCATCGGAGGGCTCAATTAACAGACAATACAGCTGTCCCACACAGACTGAAAGGACAGAGCCCTGCATTGTTCTGGAAATATGCAATTTAATGCCAATAGTCACAAAACACCTAGGTCATTTCAACACCCCGCCCCCTTCACTTGCTCTGCTTGAAAGCCGGGCTTGAGAACAGCCTTCTCTGTGACATTGTTGCTTTCAAGATAAGGACCCTCTGACACCCTAACAGAGGCGCTGTGCGGTGCCTAGATGCCATATTAGCAGGACCTTGTGTTTCAGGAGGGAAGGTAGCTGCAGGCTTCGGCGAGCTGAGGAAGCGCTGGGCAGCCGCTAGGCGGGGGCCTGCCGCTGTTGCTGCAGCAGCGCCTGTCTGGGAGTGCAGCAAAGATTTGCTGATGCCTCTCACGTAGTATTTTGCAGGAAGTTTCCATACGTCTTCAGTACAGTAGATACAAAGGGGGTTTGGAGGGAAGCAGGGCTGAATTATCCGAAAAGGCTTTTTCTTTTTCTTTACTTTTTTTTAAATCGGTTTGAGAATTTCCATCCGCATCTTAACCCAAGTGCTTTGAGAGGAGTCCCCGAGCCATGCGTCCATCCCTCTGAAGAAACGCCCACAGATGACCGCTAGCGCCCCTGGAGGGGACTATTGGGGATGTGTAGCTCGCAGAGCCTCACTTGGTTTATGACCACAAGGGAGGATCGACTCAACCGCTACCCAGTGAGCCACTGCAACTTGTGCAGTTCACCAGCATGGGGACAAGGGATTCGGAAGAACGGGGTCTGTATTGCGAGGTTTTCATTCAATAAGGCTACTTCTTCTCTACCTAGTTACAAAACAAGGAACGGGGGGGGGGGGGGGGGCACATCTTTGGCTGGTGTTGTCTTATAATTCTGCAGGATATATTGAGCTTGCTATGCTGTTGTATTGATTTTCTACCTGTGCTGTAGATTTGCTTTAAATAATGCATATAATACCGGTATTATGGCCAGCTAAGGGATATTCTCCGAGGAAGCCTGTCTTAGGGTAAGACAAAACAGGCAGTTTTTAGCAAAAATTGGGGGGAAGGGGAGGGAGGTTTCAATACCACTCCTTGACATTTGATGTAAAATATAGAGTGAATTCTACGTTTGTGTAAACACATAAATATCCAGGTGCAGAAGGCTGCCACACAGAAGTAAAAGCTGTAGATATAACTGTGTATCAACAGTTGCCTTGCATATACTCCATACATTATGGTACAAATATACTACATTGACACCGAATCTTGGGGTTTTCCCCCCTATTCTGTTTCTCACTTATCCAGACATCCCTATCTCATAAGAATAAACAGTGCATTACAGAGCAAAAGATCTACCACCAAATGGATGTTTTAGGTACTGTGAATTTACTAAGAATCATATCCTGTCTTTACAATCTGTTGTCTATTTGAGAGGTGGAGGTGGTAAAGGGGATTGCAGAGTGGAATGGAATTTACTTCTGCTCCAAGAAGGTGCAGTACGCCCTGTGATTACATACTGCAGGCCACACCACACCTTACTAAATTCTCAGAATGGCTAATTATACCCTTGTGTTACCAAAGAGGGCTGGGTAGCCTGGCACTGGGCCCCCTGCATAATACTCTCTTGAATGCCAGGTTTGGGACTGTGACCTGCTAGCTGTATAGGGTGGGAAGAAGAGGCTGACTTCCGTACAGTGATTTAGGAATGCAGTGTGCATATTAACTGAAATGAGTGTAGCTCTTCACTCACAGAGCCCTTCAGACCAGTGTTGTTATCTCAGATGGTCCAGATGGTTTGGATAAACTTCCTAAATCATGGAAACGAGAAAGAACTTTTTGAGATGTACCTGCCACTAATCCTCTCCCTCCACTATCTTCTTCAAATTCCTGCTACAGCAGTTGTACCACTCTGAGGTGCCACTCCTCCAGAACCAGGTTTTGAAAGATATGTTGATATATAAAGATGCATATAGGTATCTAAGAGCTAATGAAAATCCCATTCAGTATCTTTCAGCATCTTTAGGCACCTAAATGACTTTAAGAATTCTTACAAGTATTCATCTGGAATCCAGGCCATTTGAAGAATGACTGGGCCACTACTTCACTGCTTCAGCCGTGCAATCTCCATGACTTCCTGAATGATAACCATATGAGTACCATGAGAGCAGGAACGGCTTTTTATTCCTATTATGTGAAAACCATGATTTACTGGGTCACCTGAAACTTATTATGAACAATTAGTTTTTTAACATGGGTTGGAATAGGGTAATGTGAATTTTCAGTCAACTAGAGCTTGATCATTCAAGGATCTGAGTCCTCTCAACTCCTGAGGACTCCAGTAGGACTTTAGTATACTCAGCACCTCACAAGATTGGGCCCTTACACAGTGATCTTTACAACAAAACCTGAGGATAAAGGAAGATTCTTGAGGAAGTATTGTTATCAGCAACCTATGAAGGCTGTGGTCATACTTCTCAGACCCTTTCCCAAGAATGTCTGGAATTACTGTTGACATTTTCTTTTTCTAAAGTCTGGAAATGTGAGGGTGGTAACTAGGGTTGCACAAAAAGTTCATATTGAAACCCTCAAACTGCCCATAATCAGGATTGGAGCCTAATGGAACTTTAAATATCAGTCCAGGTCCACAAACATTTGATGAATATGGGTAGATGCTGTTACAATAAATGTAGGCACTCCAACGTATCTATTCATCTAGCTTCTATATAGTACTCGCTACTCTCTTTTGACTTCTTTAGAACCATTAGTCCAGCAATCTCCAGCTTTTTTCTCACCCTCTGCTTACCTTTTCTGCCTTTTGGGATGAGACATTTGTACCACTTCTGCTTCCCCCTTGCTCTTAGTAGCCCCTTTTCTGGTCTTGAAGAGGCATCAAATGGCCTTTTCCACTATAGCAGACCATTCAGAAGTCCTTGCCTCTCCGAATCTAGAGAGATTTTGAGAGGTGGTTGAGTGAAACTACATGGACACCAACTAAAACCTGGACCAATAGAGATAGATTTGGTGGCAACCCCTGACAAATAGACCCTACGGCTGTGTCTACACTGGCATGAATTTCCAGAAATGCTTAAAATGGAATACTATTCCGTTTTCAGTTTTTCCGGAAAAGGAGCGTCTACATTGGCAGGCTGCTTTTCCGGAAAAGCCCTTTTTCCGGAAAAGCGTCTGTGGCCAATGTAGATGTGCTTTTCTGGAGAAGAGCCCCGATGGCCATTTTCGCGATCGGGGCTTTTTTCCAGAAAAGACTACTGCGCTGTCTACACTGGCCCTTTTCCAGAACAGTGTTCTGGAATAAGGACTTATGGTCGTTGCTTTTCTGGAAATTCAAGGGCCAGTGTAGACAGCTCGCAGCTTATTCCGGAAAAGCGGCTGATTTTCCAGAATAAGTGGCTCAGTGTAGACACAGCCTACAAGTTCTAGTTCCTATAATACAATCCCCAATCTCTTATTTAGTGGTTACCTACTTTGTGAGATTAGGACCTTTTAGCAGTTACGGTCTTTTTGGTCATGATTTTAGACCTATTTGAGCAGATGGCATTACGTATGCATAACTGTTGGCTGCAGTCATCAGTAGCTAATCTGTAAGCAGATGTATAATGTAACATATCCCAAACAATAAAATATTACCTTTATATGGTACATATTTAGGGCCAAATTCTCCACTCCGATCTGTGGGCAGTGGAAATACTGCATCACTTCTGCTCAGGATGGGGAGAAGAGCTCAGAGATCAGCAAAGAGACACAACATGGATTGAGGGGCCCAAAGCCCAATTCACAAGAAATGTATACTATTCCTCCATATAGCCAATGACATCCTCAGAGCCACTGCACCCCACTGTCACAGGTTGGGACCAAGAATTCTGTTCTTTAGCCTGAAGATTTGAAGCCATAATTGCCAGTGATGAACCAAATAATAAATACCATAATATCAGGGTGGGCTAATAACAAATGTTTAGTAAAGCAAGCATGCAAGGACCAATAGCAATGCTTGTTTCCTAGTCTGCATGAGAAATCAGCCCAAATATTGATCTAACCTGATTAATTAAGCCATAGGTTTCAGGGAATAACACTCAGATTGGTGATTTAACACAGGTCTTATATGTCTCTTCTTCATTCCTGAAGTATGTGATCATTCCAGCTCATGAAAATAAATAGCGTTCCTTCCAGGTTTGGTTTGTAAACTGTATCTTATCTTCTGCACGTCTTACCTCCTTCTGCGCTCATTTCTTAGGCAAAACTTCCATTTATTCCAATGGGAGAAAATTTAGCCCGACTGCAAGATTGGGGGTTTAGTCTTGATATAAGGCTCTGGGAAATTCAGCACAGACCACTGATTTCTATGTGCTTCACACA